TGCCCCTCCCTCTGCCTTCCACACCCCGCTCAGGGGGCACCTGCCTGGAGGCTGTCCTGGCCCTGTCACCCCCACCTGGGCCCTCGCTGTACCAGCTGCCAGTCTGCTGTCTCTCCCCAGAGACACCCGGCCCTCCTCCCCCCCACCAGGAGGCAGGCCTGGGTCTCAGCCCAGGCTCTGGGTTTCCTAAGCGAATAAATTTGAAAGCAGCCCCTCTTGGAATCTCCCCATCGTGTTGGGGGGTCCTCTTTGGCCAGAATTGGGGTCCATTCCCTGCGTGGGAACCAGATTCCTGGGAATTCGGAAAACAACCCGGCACCTGGCCCGAGGGAAGGTCCTTGGGGCTTCAGGGTGCAAGAGACAGATGCAGATACACGTGGGCTCTTAAAACGCTGGAATCTGGCCCGGCCGGGCTGCTCAGTGGTTAGAGCACCGTCCCGCTACACCAAGGTTGCAGGTTCGATCCCTGGTCCGGACACATACAAGGTCAAGCAATGAATGCATAAGTGGAACAACAAATCCATGTCTGTCTCTCTCCCTCTATCTCAAAAAAGTAAAAATTTAAAAAACAAACAAACTTTGGGCTCTTTAGCTTTCTTTGAAGGGCTCGCAGAGATAAGAGGATGGACCTGGGATGACAGAGCGCAGAGGAGAGGCCCAGGAAGGGGCTGTCCCCTCCCCCTCTCCTGAGGCCAGGCCCAGGCTGGGCGCCAGGTCAGAGTAACAGAGCAATCTCCATACACCTTTTTATTCTGCCGAGAAAGTAATATATACGCATCCTGGCTGGGTGGCTCAGTGGGTTGCACACCGTCCTGCATACCAAAGGGTTCGATTCCCCGTCAGGGCACATACCGGGGTCGTGGGTCTGATCCCTGGTTGGGGTGCACACAGGAGGCAACTGTTCCATGTTGCTCACATTGATGTTTCCACATCGATGTTTCTCTCTCTTTCTCACCCTTCCTCTCTCTCTCTCTTTTTAAAAAATGATACAGCCACTTTATTGTTTTTATTATTATTATTTTTTTAATCCTCACCCGAGGGTATTTTTCCATTGATTTTTAGAGAGAGTGGAAGAGAGAGGGAAAGACAGAGCGAAACATCGACGTGAGAGAAGCACATCGATAGGTTGCCTCCTGCACGCACCCTGACCAGGGCCCGGCCGGCCCCTGCTGGCCTCTCCCCTCCCCTCCGTACGACCCCTCACGTGCCGCCTCACTCCAGCTGCTCGTCACCAATCTCGGCTCCTGGGACTCTCTCACCAGGTCCTCCGCCTTCGCATACGCTGTTCCCTCTGCTCAGAACGCCCTTCCCTTTTCATCTGCCCGGACACCCCCCTGAGCTCCCTCCCGGGGCCTGTCCAAATGCCTCTCCTTCATCCACTGCCCATTTATTTACCCATCAAGCGACTCTGAGGGGAGGGTGGGAGGCCTGGTCTGTGGAAGGCACACATGCCCGAGGCCGGTCACCGCCCTCCGTCTCACAGCAGAGCCAGGACTCGCCGCCGGCTGCCCCTGAATCTATTTTCTTTTAGTTCTTTGATTTCCTATCCTCACCCGAGGAAACGCATATTGCTTTTTAGAGAGAGAGAGAGGAAGGGAGAGAGCCATGGATGTGAGATAGAAACATGGACGGGCTGCCTCCTGCACACCCCCCCGGCCCAGGATCAAACCTGCAACAATGGGTATCCGCCCGCTGCTCCCTCCACCGACCCCCGGCCACACGCCCTCACTCCAGCTACTTGGGGAGTGGAACCAGGTCTGTTTGGGGCACGGGGCAACACTCTAATGGAGCCACCTGGCCGGGGCTCCCCTGCATCTGAGCACGGGGTCCCCGCTCCGCTGGCCCACCCTGACCCCAGGGGCTCAGCTGCCCGCCGTGTCCGTGTGTGTCTGAGCCATGGCCCGTTCCCTGCTCAGACGTCCCTGCGTGCCCATCTGCTCCCTTGACACGTAGTCCCTGGGCGCCTGCTAAGTGTCAGGCTCCACGCCGGGCTCTGGGGGTGCAGCCGTGGGCGAGACAGCACAGCCTACTTCCCGGAGCTGACCCCGGTGCGGGGAGAGACGCTGAGTGTGATAATGACACAGCATCAGTGAGTGGCCACGGTGACCCGGGGGCTGCCCGGGCGGCAGCGGGGAGGCGGGCTGGGGCCCCTCCACAACACAGCAGGTGGTCAAACTCTCTCTGAGGCGCATGAGATGCAGAGCGAACCGCTTACCCATGACCTCCCGCATGAGATGCAGAGCGAACCGCTTACCCATGACCTCCCGCATGAGATGCAGAGCGAACCGCTTACCCATGACCTCCCGCATGAGATGCAGAGCGAACCGCTTACCCATGACCTCCCGCATGAGATGCAGAGCGAACCGCTTACCCATGACCTCCCGCATGAGATGCAGAGCGAACCGCTTACCCATGACCTCCCGCATGAGATGCAGAGCGAACCGCTTACCCATGACCTCCCGCATGAGATGCAGAGCGAACCGCTTACCCATGACCTCCCGCATGAGATGCAGAGCGAACCGCTTACCCATGACCTCCCGCATGAGATGCAGAGCGAACCGCTTACCCATGACCTCCCGCATGAGATGCAGAGCGAACCGCTTACCCATGACCTCCCGCATGAGATGCAGAGCGAACCGCTTACCCATGACCTCCCGCATGAGATGCAGAGCGAACCGCTTACCCATGACCTCCCGCATGAGATGCAGAGCGAACCGCTTACCCATGACCTCCCGCATGAGATGCAGAGCGAACCGCTTACCCATGACCTCCCGCATGAGATGCAGAGCGAACCGCTTACCCATGACCTCCCGCATGAGATGCAGAGCGAACCGCTTACCCATGACCTCCCGCATGAGATGCAGAGCGAACCGCTTACCCATGACCTCCCGCATGAGATGCAGAGCGAACCGCTTACCCATGACCTCCCGCATGAGATGCAGAGCGAACCGCTTACCCATGACCTCCCGCATGAGATGCAGAGCGAACCGCTTACCCATGACCTCCCGCATGAGATGCAGAGCGAACCGCTTACCCATGACCTCCCGCATGAGATGCAGAGCGAACCGCTTACCCATGACCTCCCGCATGAGATGCAGAGCGAACCGCTTACCCATGACCTCCCGCATGAGATGCAGAGCGAACCGCTTACCCATGACCTCCCGCATGAGATGCAGAGCGAACCGCTTACCCATGACCTCCCGCATGAGATGCAGAGCGAACCGCTTACCCATGACCTCCCGCATGAGATGCAGAGCGAACCGCTTACCCATGACCTCCCGCATGAGATGCAGAGCGAACCGCTTACCCATGACCTCCCGCATGAGATGCAGAGCGAACCGCTTACCCATGACCTCCCGCATGAGATGCAGAGCGAACCGCTTACCCATGACCTCCCGCATGAGATGCAGAGCGAACCGCTTACCCATGACCTCCCGCATGAGATGCAGAGCGAACCGCTTACCCATGACCTCCCGCATGAGATGCAGAGCGAACCGCTTACCCATGACCTCCCGCATGAGATGCAGAGCGAACCGCTTACCCATGACCTCCCGCATGAGATGCAGAGCGAACCGCTTACCCATGACCTCCCGCATGAGATGCAGAGCGAACCGCTTACCCATGACCTCCCGCATGAGATGCAGAGCGAACCGCTTACCCATGACCTCCCGCATGAGATGCAGAGCGAACCGCTTACCCATGACCTCCCGCATGAGATGCAGAGCGAACCGCTTACCCATGACCTCCCGCATGAGATGCAGAGCGAACCGCTTACCCATGACCTCCCGCATGAGATGCAGAGCGAACCGCTTACCCATGACCTCCCGCATGAGATGCAGAGCGAACCGCTTACCCATGACCTCCCGCATGAGATGCAGAGCGAACCGCTTACCCATGACCTCCCGCATGAGATGCAGAGCGAACCGCTTACCCATGACCTCCCGCATGAGATGCAGAGCGAACCGCTTACCCATGACCTCCCGCATGAGATGCAGAGCGAACCGCTTACCCATGACCTCCCGCATGAGATGCAGAGCGAACCGCTTACCCATGACCTCCCGCATGAGATGCAGAGCGAACCGCTTACCCATGACCTCCCGCATGAGATGCAGAGCGAACCGCTTACCCATGACCTCCCGCATGAGATGCAGAGCGAACCGCTTACCCATGACCTCCCGCATGAGATGCAGAGCGAACCGCTTACCCATGACCTCCCGCATGAGATGCAGAGCGAACCGCTTACCCATGACCTCCCGCATGAGATGCAGAGCGAACCGCTTACCCATGACCTCCCGCATGAGATGCAGAGCGAACCGCTTACCCATGACCTCCCGCATGAGATGCAGAGCGAACCGCTTACCCATGACCTCCCGCATGAGATGCAGAGCGAACCGCTTACCCATGACCTCCCGCATGAGATGCAGAGCGAACCGCTTACCCATGACCTCCCGCATGAGATGCAGAGCGAACCGCTTACCCATGACCTCCCGCATGAGATGCAGAGCGAACCGCTTACCCATGACCTCCCGCATGAGATGCAGAGCGAACCGCTTACCCATGACCTCCCGCATGAGATGCAGAGCGAACCGCTTACCCATGACCTCCCGCATGAGATGCAGAGCGAACCGCTTACCCATGACCTCCCGCATGAGATGCAGAGCGAACCGCTTACCCATGACCTCCCGCATGAGATGCAGAGCGAACCGCTTACCCATGACCTCCCGCATGAGATGCAGAGCGAACCGCTTACCCATGACCTCCCGCATGAGATGCAGAGCGAACCGCTTACCCATGACCTCCCGCATGAGATGCAGAGCGAACCGCTTACCCATGACCTCCCGCATGAGATGCAGAGCGAACCGCTTACCCATGACCTCCCGCATGAGATGCAGAGCGAACCGCTTACCCATGACCTCCCGCATGAGATGCAGAGCGAACCGCTTACCCATGACCTCCCGCATGAGATGCAGAGCGAACCGCTTACCCATGACCTCCCGCATGAGATGCAGAGCGAACCGCTTACCCATGACCTCCCGCATGAGATGCAGAGCGAACCGCTTACCCATGACCTCCCGCATGAGATGCAGAGCGAACCGCTTACCCATGACCTCCCGCATGAGATGCAGAGCGAACCGCTTACCCATGACCTCCCGCATGAGATGCAGAGCGAACCGCTTACCCATGACCTCCCGCATGAGATGCAGAGCGAACCGCTTACCCATGACCTCCCGCATGAGATGCAGAGCGAACCGCTTACCCATGACCTCCCGCATGAGATGCAGAGCGAACCGCTTACCCATGACCTCCCGCATGAGATGCAGAGCGAACCGCTTACCCATGACCTCCCGCATGAGATGCAGAGCGAACCGCTTACCCATGACCTCCCGCATGAGATGCAGAGCGAACCGCTTACCCATGACCTCCCGCATGAGATGCAGAGCGAACCGCTTACCCATGACCTCCCGCATGAGATGCAGAGCGAACCGCTTACCCATGACCTCCCGCATGAGATGCAGAGCGAACCGCTTACCCATGACCTCCCGCATGAGATGCAGAGCGAACCGCTTACCCATGACCTCCCGCATGAGATGCAGAGCGAACCGCTTACCCATGACCTCCCGCATGAGATGCAGAGCGAACCGCTTACCCATGACCTCCCGCATGAGATGCAGAGCGAACCGCTTACCCATGACCTCCCGCATGAGATGCAGAGCGAACCGCTTACCCATGACCTCCCGCATGAGATGCAGAGCGAACCGCTTACCCATGACCTCCCGCATGAGATGCAGAGCGAACCGCTTACCCATGACCTCCCGCATGAGATGCAGAGCGAACCGCTTACCCATGACCTCCCGCATGAGATGCAGAGCGAACCGCTTACCCATGACCTCCCGCATGAGATGCAGA